TGATCCACCTGATCTAAGTACATATGATCTGGGCATCTTATGCACTTCTTCTACAACTGCTGGTTTCCAGCGATTATTTTGATATATCCGAACACAATCTCCTTTATTTAGCAATGGTAATGTTTTTGTATGATGATCATAATACGACTTCTGTTTCGTTCTTTCTTGGTTGATTTTTTCTTTTACATTTTTTCACAACTTGAGGTTTAAGTAATTCTTCAGATGTAGGAAGAATTGTTCTTGTTCTTCTACTCATAAGTCGTTGAGCTGGTGAGACATTGGATTTTTGATGTACTTGATAGTACTCTGATTATCAATTTGTAGGATAAGCAATGAGACATTAGCTATCACACTGAACAAGCTCTTCAGCCATATCAGGTCTTTTGTGGCATCAGCTGCTGCCATGAACTCTGCCTCTGTCGTCGGTTGGATATGGCCTCCTGTAGCTTGCTTCGCCACGTAATTGCATCTCCACCATAGAAAGAAATAACACCTGTTTGAGACCTGCGTGTTTCTGCACAGCTGTTGTTATCTGCATCACTAAACAACATCAAACTTCTATTATCTTCATTACTGTACACAATGCCGTGTCCTATGGTATTGCGAAGGTACCTTAATGTTGTCTGTATGATTTCCCAATCAATCTCTCTAGGATTGTTCAGCTTTCGAGACATCAAACACACTGCGTAAGCAATATCCGGTCGAGTCCCCATCGCCAAGTACAGAAAACTGCAAACTGACAGCATGGAACTACTGCTAGAGGCTTCGCCTCCTTGATCTTGATCATATTGTCGTTGGACCATTTCAACCGAGACTCGACTTCTTTACTGGCATGTGTGATGTCTTAGCTGCTCCATATCGCTCTAATATCTTTCTTGTAAATGCTTCTTGATGCAGGAAGAGTGAGCCGTCTTTCAAACATTCAACTTGTAGACAGACCAAGGAAACAATTTAACGTTGTTACTCGAATGTTAAAATGTTGCTTGAGTTCATCCATAAATGTGAAGAATGCTGCTTTGTCCTGAACAGTGACAATGCCATCATCAACTTCTGTCCATAATAATTTCATATAAACAGGCAGTTGTTAGATTTACTTTGTATCATGCCATGTTTCTTTAGCCCGTAAGTAAACTTGGCATTCCAACATCGTCCAGCTTGTTTCAAGCCGTATAAAGGTTGAAGCATCCTGCATACACGCTTACTTCCATCATTATAGCCTTCGGGTTGATACATGTAGATCTCAATTAGGTCACCGTAAAGGAATGACATCTCTACGTCGGTTTGATATAAGTTGAGATTCTCCTTGACTGCTATTGCAATTAGAGCTCGAAAAGTGTCATGGCGACATACCGGGCTAAATGTGTCCTCGTAGTCGATATTCACAGTCTGGGTGTACACTTTTGCTACTAAACGGGCCTTGAATCTCTCGATTGAGCCATTGGGATTTGTCTTCACTCTGTAAACCCAGTGATTGTCAAGGATTTTAGGTCTGTTACGGTGGCTCAACAAGTTGCCATGTTCCACATGTGAAGCCATTTCTTCGTCCATAGCTCGTTTCCAGTCAGCATATTCAGTAGACTTCATTGCTTTGTCATATGTTTTAGGTTCTTCCAACTTCAGAATGCTGTTGTACACGTTGTAGTCATTAAACCTAACAGGCCGTTGGATAGTTTAACGGTCTCGCAATGTATGGTCATCTGTGTTGGTTCATCTTCATCAGTGCACAGATCACCAGCCCCCTGTATATCTGCATCATCGTGTGCATATTCTAAAATAAACTTCATACCGCTTGATAGACCGGTGTTAGATGCTAATTTTGAAGGTTGGGAAGTAGGGCCAATTTGCTGTTCATTGAACACTACATTGGCACCTTTTATCGTATCATTCCTTTATGGTAAGAAAATGCGATACCCATCGTCATCACAATAATCAATCAAATAGCATTTATAGCTTTGTCATCTAATTTACTTCTGTTGACATTTGGTACATGTACAAATGCAGCTGATCCGAAAACTTGAATTCTGTTGATTGCCGGCTTGCATCCAAACCATTCCTCAAACAGAGATTTTCCCATAGTCTTACTTGGTCTGGTTTGATTGAGAACGTAGACAGCTGTAGATGCTGCTTCTACCCATAGGAACTGTGGTAGGCCTGAATCTTTGATCATAGTGTGAACTGCATTCATTATTGTACGATTCTCTCTTTCAACCAATCCATTTTGTTCTGGTGTATATGGCATAGTGATTCGCAGCTTTATGCCTGCATCATCAGTTAGTTTCACCAATTTATCATTGTCAAATTCACGACCATCATCTGTGACCAGTTCTTTTACCATCTTTGTTAGCCGAACAAGAAACTGATGTATTTATCTCACCAGACTTTTGTGTTTTGACTCGTTTTGGTTTAAATGTTCATCGACTTTGTTTACCATACACGCATGGCTCACAAAAATAGTCCATTGTCGATAAAATCTACACCATTTTGGCGGATGTACTGTTTCACATATTGTATTCCTTGATGCCCAAGTCGATAATGGCAATTTTGTCGTCGTCTTCAGTGCCGTCTCCAGAAATGCCACAAATGTTATCGTACATTCATTTCTAAGCTCTTGATTTCTTCTTTGCAGCCGCATGTTGATCTGTTCGATCAGTTTTTCAGGTGACTTTTCCGTCTTTGGCACTGAGTCCCACTGTGATTTGAACTCGATATATTCATCATCAGGAAGAATAGATAAGATTCGCGTTGCTAGCAAGTTCTGTGGCAACTTTCCTTTGCCGCTCAACTCTTGCTTACATTGAAGATCCATCCACAGCGTACGTAAATGTGCGAGTGATTGCATTACACTTTCGTCTTTCTCAAACCGAAAAGTGAAAAACTGTTGCAGAAGAGTGTCCAATTTCACGCTTGACACCTCAAAATTACTTAATAACTCATTCCATATCGCTAGTGCAGAATTACCATGCATATGGATCAAATTTAACACATTCGGTGATACATTTGTGCGAATGATTACAGCAGCTTTCGCATTCGCCTTTGCATATGCTTTTGCGGCTTTGTTATACTCTATCACTTTCCCATTCGTGCTTTCTGCCGGAGCTTTTGGATCGATAAGGGAATTATCGAAGATGCCTGCACAATCATTGAGCACAAATAAAGAATTTATTTCAAATTTCCAATCAGTCCGGTTGGAATTATCTTTCAATTTGGTACACTGAACAAAATTTTTAGCTTCCATATTACGTCGTCATTAACCCTTTCCGGCACGCTACCTTTTAAAGTCGGAGTTTTATAAAAAAAAGGGGGGTAGACAGTCTAATGGCCTAGAGTAGAACACAAGTAAATTTTTGTGAAGATAGCACTTATCGTTTTTATTCTGTAGGTGTGCCCAAAGAAGCACACTGATTGAATAGAGCTTCGAAAAGAGTGCTGAAACGATCATTGTTGTCAATGAACTGACCGATGAGACGCGCGGAAATAAAGAATACAGACACTAAGTTGTCTTAGATTATCGGTGAGCCCGATCTGGGCACACCTAGGGTTTGCCGTTTGATTTTAGGGAAGATTTCAAGGTAAAAATTTAAAACTAATATAGAATAAGGAGATTAGCATACAGCCCAAAAAATAACATAGAAATTTCTTTTCAAACAATGCCTTTTATACCCTAAAAAAATTTTATAAGATTTGTTTAAAAAATGAGTGGCTTAAAAAACTAAACATGGCTAAAATATATGGACTGGTTTGTGTTGAGCTGCCATCTACTATAAATAAAGAAGGTTCAGAGTAAATCATAAATCCTTTTTCATTCAATTTTTCTGTGCATACAGAAGGAAATTTTTAAGCGTGTCCAGAACAGACACACTGTGTCGCAAAGGGTTAACCAGGAAATATGCAGCAAAAAAAAAGAGGCTATCGGTACACTGTAGCGTCTACCTACACACTGTTCAGGTGGAAGTGTTGAAATCAAAAATGAAAGTAAAAAAAAATCAGTGATTCAAATACGTCATTAACATATGATGATTAACATAGCCATTGTTAATTTATTTGCACAGTTAAACGTTGCTAAAACCCATAACCTGTTATAAAATTAACAAACAGAGTGATGGCTAATTGAATTTTGGACTTTATTAACAAAAAAATTTAAAGAGAACTTACGTACAGCTTATTGCTTACATGACAACTTTTAGAATGACGAAAATACGTGATGCCAGATGCATAAAGCATAATAAAACAATAAAACGATGATGCCTCTGAAACTACACATAATATCAATTAAATGCTCGAATCTCAACAAAAACAAGAAGTCATAGGAAAATGTGGGGAAAACCATGGAGTTAAGCAGAAAGTACATGCATTGTGGTGTCTTTACAGAGAGCGCCATCTACCTTAGTTAGGAGAGTTTGAACTTATTGCACTGCCTTAGCACTAATAAGTTAAGACTATTGCAGCGAATTCTTACCGTTTCGCTTGTGCATAATTTACGATCTGATCTGAACTACCAAAGTTTTAAGGACAGAGGAAAAATAAAATTCCCTCAGATACACCCCAGACTTAATTCAGCTTTTAAATACATATAAACCGCGTCTTATCTACCCAAAACTATGGTAATAACAAATTATTTATCATCTGTGAAAAGCAAGTTAATAGTAGAATTCCATTAAGCTATTATTAGTGAATACTTAGAAGTTTAATTATAAAAATTCTTTTTCACTTTAGTCATTATTAATTTTATAGAATTTAAAGAATAATTAATATAGCTACAGTAAAATAAGTAAATTAAAACTTTTGTATTTTAAGTTCTCTACAAATTTTGAGAAAATTTTTCCCTCTGTATTACTCTCAACACTCTCCTCATACTTTACAAAAAACTACCTTTTTTGAAACATTTTTCATAAATTGAGAACTTAACAGACAGTTATAATATAAAAAATGAGAAACTGGTTATTGAACTAATGAAAAATATTGAGGATAAAGCAATAAATAAATATATATAAGGGCCTTACCTCCTTAGTTTCAGGATCAAAATCTTCATTAGGACACATTTGGTGAAGTAATTTTTCAATCATAATTTTTTCCTAAAGGAGAAAAATAAAAAAATACAAAACATTTGTTATTAGAAATTATAACGAGAGTTAACTAGGACTTTCAGAATTAAAAACACTTGCATATCACCCACTACAGGGAACTTTAGTCCATTTCAAGATAAGCAGCGAGTTACAAAAATAAATATCCATGTCTCCCAGTTGGGAACCATGTCCTTAACCTTTAAAATATCACTTCAAACATGAATTATTGCTCTCTTAGTTCCTTTCCATTTGATCTTTCAAAATGCTTTCTGTTTGTTAGTTTCTTCAATGGTCTCTAGAATTTAAATAACAATGAAGAAAAAGGACCTATTATCTTTCCCCCCCCACATGACCATGGTGTACTGTTATAAATAAATATATTGGTCACCAAGAATATGACAAAATTATATAACAATATGTGAAATATGCAGTGAAACAATAACATTGAAAAGTGCAAATAAATGAGACCATGAACTAGTTTGAATGAAGCCAGATGACATTTAAAACAGCCATGTCATTTATTTATGGTTGGTGTTATTAACAATAAAAGTTTGCCAAGAAAAGCTAGACATGTTGGATAAAACTTCGACTGAGTGGAAGAATTATAGAGAAATTTGCATTCTTGAAAATGAGGAAAAGCAAATTCTATCAACCTATATTCACAGTGCCTATATCAAAGGTTATCTCAGACCATCCCAAGTTCCAAGTGCCAGATTATGCAAGAAAGCTGGATTCTGAATTAACTTTTGCAGATTCGTAAATGAAATTAGACAGCAAAATAATTAGCTTCAAATATAAATATTAACTTAAAATTTAACAGTTAACAAATTTCCATCATTATTTGGAACAAAGCATTACTGCCCATGAAATACTTAATAAACAGACAAAACATTAAAAAATAATCAGGAATTTAAAAGGGAATACAAAGTAAACAGGTCTGTAAGGATACAGAATAATACTCGAGGGGTGACAAACGCATATTTTGTACTTTTTTGATCAAAAAAGCATGCAGTTAATTACACAAAAATTAAATGCTAAGTAGTAAGATTAGATGAATGCCACTGTAGAAGGCAGCATACACCTGTTTAAAGGAGTTTTTTTGGATTAAGACAAAATCCTCTTGATCTGCACATATCCAGATTAGGTCCATGAAAAATATCACAGTCAAGAAGCAGAGGACTGCAAATGTCATTGGCCAAGGCCCTGAGCACCTTATAGGAAACTTCAAAGAAATAGATGTATAAAAATTTTAGGGAAAAATAGATCAGATAATATATCATTACATATCATAATATACAAAGTGATCTATGATTTATTCACAGAAGATTTTATTATCAGTAAAACAATGTAAAAAGATAAGTGCTTGGAGTACTTCAAATTTTGTAAAAACCTCAACAGAACCCTTACTTCAATCAAATTGACAAGTGCAAAATTACACTGAAGTTCTGTGAAGTGACTTGCAGTTTGAAAAATCCAAAATTATCATAACATAAATTTGTGAGGAAGCACAGGAAGTCTGAAGAGAATGTTTAGAAATATTAATCTTTTGAATGCAAGACTGGTTAAAAGAAACTGAATTCACATAAATTAAACTGCTTCTGCTAATGTGTGTGAAAGCAACATAAATACCACTATTACTGTTAATATTGAATAAAAAATATATTGTTTGTAATTATGTACACTGCGAAAAAAAAAAAAGGCCAGTTCTGCATCCCGCTGTTCTACTGTACCAAATGACGAAATTCAAATTGCATTTTCATGTCTCAAAAGCGCAACTTAGGAGATGGATTTATACACAGCATTATTCTAACATAGGTATTTTGACACAAAATCAAGACCTTTTCTGAAATAACATATCAACTTTTTCCATATTTCTAGTCTGTGACTCAAATTATGCCTATATATTAAATTTTGTAATTTTTGGTGAAAAATTAATGGAGAAATTAAAAAATTTACCGTGGCACATTTTCTCCAGTTCACGCCAAGAACAATTAACTTGAGGAATTGTTAATTTATAGTAACCTACTTACTCTCCTTTTTTTTTTCATTTATGCACGAGATGAAAAAAGGTTCATCGCTCATTCTTTCAAATAGTTTTAACAAAGTGCGTAAACTACATTTCCGTTATTATCGCTTATATTAAATACACCAAATTTTAAAACATGCCAAAAAATAAATTCATGTATATCTTAGGAAATTTTGAATAAAAAACTAATTTTTTGCAGATATGCTTAAAAATACATCTACTTTAAGGTGATGTTAAAAATTTTATAGGTTTATAACACAAAATTTTTTCAAAAAAATTATAAAAATATTTTAAAATACAAATTTTTAAAATAAATAAAAAAATGTGTGAATTATCTTTTGATTAAGCCTAAATTGCAAATTCTGGAAGAAAAATCAAGTAAGTTTAATAGTAAAAAAAAAAAAAAAAAAAAAAAAAAAAAAAAAAAAAAAAAAAGAGATATTCATAAATATATATTGTTGCATTTGTACAGGTTCGTTTGAACTGAATACACAAGTCCAATGAAAAATGGACAAAATTTATAATTATCGCAACAAAAATGCTTAAATTTCCTCAGATATTATCACAGTAGTTATCTTTTAACTACTTAAACGTTCAACAGAAGTTAATTCAAAAACAGCTAAAAAAAGTTAATCCACTACAATCAACAAGAGCAGTTTTCTAAACAAACTCTTAAAACAACAACAAACTAACTAATAATAATGAACTGAGAGGTTTTTATGCCGCTTATATAAGCTTTTTAAAACCGCGAGAATTTTCTAGCACTTTCTCGAAATCAAAAAGGGATATTTATTTATTAAATGTTAAATGCATTTTCCTTTAATATTCATCATGTGCTGCACTGCATGGGGAATAAACAATTTAATTTATAATTCAACTAACATTAGCTATTTAAATACCAAATCCGTAACAAAACCAAATTCAATTAACACTGAGGATTAAAATTTCGAGAGCTAATTTTTAAAAAAGTACTTGTGCGATTTTTTACAAAACTTGGCAGTTTGGCATAATTCAAGTCACAGAATCGAAATATGGAAAAAAATTAGTATGTTATTTCAGAAAAAGTCCAATTTTGTGTCAAAATACCTATATTAAAACAATGCTATATATAAATCTAATACATAGACTAAGTCTCACTTTCGAGACATGAAAAACACAATTTTGTCAATCGGACCATTAGAAAGGGAGATACAGTCAAAAGTCATTAATCCAGACTCGTCGGGACTTCGGTGATTCCGGATTATAGATCATCAGTTTAAATCTCGTAAGATGGCATGCACAAATTCTAAAATTAAAAATATGAAACTATATTTTAGGAAATAAAGAACAATTATGATCTAAAGGGTATCAAAATTTACAAAAAAAGAAGCTTAATATTTATTTGTTTACTTTATTAAACATTTCTTTCAATGTAAGTTGTTTCGTTTTATGTAATAATACTTTCTCTTTAATTCTATAAACAGACATAATTTCTTGTTCAGTTAAAAAGCTCCGCTGTTCAAGTCCTGTAATTGCTGTGCCCGAGAATACCGACTAACTTGTCAATCGAAATTTTTTCGTTTTCACTAACCTCTCTGTCACCTTCTTCATGTCTTTATCCATTTTTTGCAGCAATTCCACTTTTTGTTTGACGGACATCGAGACATACTTTCGTTTTGTAGATCCTTTGGGAGCTCCAGAATCGGAAATTGACATAATCGAAAGTTCAAGTTTACTTTTATAAAATTGCTCTTACAGTCTGCAAAAAATAATAAGCTGCATCCAATTCGAAGATTAAGGAATAACTCAAGCATCAACATTAACTGAAATAGATAATTGTATAATTTTAGCTTATACCGTCTGTTATACATTAAACGTGCACGCGAAAACGTATTCTGCACTTGCGCACACGCATATGCACATGTGTCAACGCTGCGCATGCGCAGAAAGTTTTTAGCTTTGAGGTCCGGATTATGGGTGTCCGAATTAACGACTTTTGACTGTATAGAACTGTCCCCCCCTTTTTTTTGCAGTGTACATTACCTTCTTTTCAACATAATCACAATTTAAAAAATACTGCAATAACTTTACTATGATACTTTGAAACTTGTATATTTGTAAATTTTCCACATACTACTGTACTTTCATACTTGACTAAACACAATGAATTGATTAATTGAATAAATTATATGTAAGTAACTGAATAATTTAATAGATTTACTATAAAATCCAACATAATAACTAAGAGTACTGTAGAAAGCAAATTCCTCTTGCTGGTCGTGCTGTAAGGCAAATGAAATATATCTATACACAGGCTGAATCTGAACAGCCAGACAAAACTTTAGGGGGTAATAAGAAAGATGGTTATATGAGCAATATTAGTTATACAATACCGTATTTGATGGCATATAAGACGCACCTTTTTTCCTAAATTTGGTCTCAAAAAAGTTACCTGCGTCTTATACGTGAAGGTCACAGGTTAACTTTCACTACTTAATGCTATTTTTAGCCCAGATAAAGGTTTAAACACACATAATGTTTTCTACATCTGCCATAATTATTTTGCGCATGCGTGAAATATCTGTTGCCAAAAAGCGTCAAAGCTCGAAGCTGAAGTTGAAGTTCGAACGGGTTCGACGGTCACATTACGTCTATGAACCCTTTCCTTCTTTACATAGACTTTCTTTGACTCAGCCGACGCACGTGTCGGTATTGGTGCTACTCTGTATAAGCATGTCGGTATCGGTGCTTAAAACTATTTTTTTTTTTTTTTAAAATACCCTGGAAAATATGACTACAGGAAACAAGATATTAAGCTATACAATTCAGTATAAACTAGGAGTATTAAACTATGCCAACATGCATGGAAACAGAGCAGCAGCAAGGCATTTCGGTCCACCACCTACCGGAAAAATGATACGTACTTGGCGACTGCACGAAGATCAACTGAAGACCGCTAAAAAACAAAAACATAACCTTCGATGCCCAGCTCCATCTGGGCCTG